ATAAATTTTGTGTTTCTAGTTCAGCTTTCGTCACTCGAAAATTTTACCTCAAAGAGGTATTTTATTTGATATCAATTATTTTGGGGTAGCAAATTTAAAATCGACGAAAATGCAAACAATAATCTAAATTATGTATTTAAATCGATGTGTATATTGAAACATACAATTTTTCGAATACGGAATAAAGCGAAAAAGAATTATCATATCCGTTGTATTCGAAAAAATAAAAAATTAAAAATTATGAGAAATGATTAAAACTTATCAACTTGGTTCCAACTTTAAACAACTTTATTCGTCTGATTGTCTCGCAGTTCATTTTTGTTAAGATTTCTACCGGGTGTGGGGCACACACATGTGCTTTTTTAAAAAGTTTTACTTCTATCACTTGTACGGTGTTGCACTCGTGCCATTAAACTAATGCTTTTTTCTCAAGTAGTTTTGCTCAGCGGCAATTTATACATATATGTATGTAAGTAGTAGCGGCACATTGGGTGAACTAAATGCATTCATACATACATATTTATGTACAACTGTAGATAATATTGTACGCGTCTTCCCAGGTAGGTTATATGGTAGACAGTTGGAGAAAATTAATTTGAATTATAAGCATAAATGCAAATTAAAATTTTACCCTTACAGACGGCAGTAATGCGAATAAACCAGCCGCAAGGTCGTGGGTTCGAGTTCCACGGCCAGTATACTTTTTTTATATCTTTTTTTTATAAGTTCTATATTTTTTTTACGTTACTTTCAGTTAGTTGTTGTTGAATTTTTAACAAAATTCATCTCTAAATATTATAATTAACTAATAGTAAAATAAGAAATGTGATATAAAATAAAGCAAATGAAAATAAAATAAAGTTAAATAAAATATATAAATTAAATATATAAATAAAATAAAATAAAAAAATATAAAATAAATAATAAAAACAAAAAACTTTTCGCAATCGCTCCAACCGAGCATCCAACCTGACAGCTACAGGCTTGTAGCTTGCAACTCTCACCACTCGGCTACCGCGTACGCGAAACTTGACTGCTTCGTTTGCTTACTTGTACAAAAGACAACAACTGACCGTTTTTACCAGTGTTGTCATCGAAAATTCCCCGGATCCGAGTTAATTCCCAAAAATTTCGTGCATTTGTTCGGCTGCTTATGCTCATTTTAAAGAGGAAAATGCATGAGTTAAAGCAAATTAAGGCTGGTTATGCAAATAATCGAGCCCGTTTGTCTACCGTATTAAGTGCGGGTGATAAACCCATGTAGCATAGTTTCTTACTGCAACTAAAATGGAGAAAAATGTTGTCGGCACGTGACTGAAAAAAACTCTAAAATGCTCACAAATTGTGGCTTCCAAGACATGTACGAAGTGATTAGCACAGCTGCATCCTTCAACTTGACAACCCGCGGGAAATTCCCCGAGTTTCAGGGATTTTCGGTTTAAGTGGCAATCGCGGAATGGGCGATTTTTTTCGGGGAACTGGGTATGTTATTTTTATATCTTAAAGTAACCAAATTAGACGGATATGTTAATTTTTAACCATTTGATCCTTTTTGGAGCGACATTTTTTCGATTTGAATCGCAATATGTCCACAAAGAGGGTTTTCCCAGAAAAAAGCTATATACCAGATAAAACCTAATGTTTTGGGCTAGATTTGCGGAAAGTTGGAATAAAATCGATTGACCTTCTACTGATATCCTCATCAATGACATGGACTGAGTAGTGCGGCCTCAGTGGTAGTTTAAAAAATTACCCTTTTTCGAATTTCAGGCAGCAGCCACGCCCACAAAGGAATACGAATCAAAACATCCTGAAAAAAGACCTTAGTTTTTTTGCACTTTAATTACTGAGTTTGAAAAAAATTAAATGAAGGTACGTACAGACGCCACATACATACCAAAGCATCTCGTAGTGGAGACACGAACCAAAACATATTTACCTCTATAGCTTTCAAACTAGTAGCCCGAACTTAATATATAAGGTATCGTTTGAAAAGTATTGGTCTATAGAACAACACTACATATGTACGTTGGGTGTATCCACTTGCCCCCTTAAACCGGCAAAAGCAAAACAACGTTTTTTGTTTCACTTTAGCCTAATTTGAGGCTTGAATACATTTTCTGGACGCACTCTGCAAGACCTTTCCAACGCTATCTCAAACATGTCGATTGGACGTCTGGATAAAAACTTCCAAATCTCGTGTATATATAAGCCAGTCATTTCAGCATGTGGCTGCTTTCGCCACTCGCGCGCACTGCCGTGCGCTGTGATATGTATGTATATGTAAGTAAAAAATTTTAGCAACCAGTTTTAGTCACAACGACTGTTTAGCTCTTTTCTAGCCCTTTTTTAAATGGAAGTCTATAAAATTATATAAGTTTTAGTGTATTGAAGAAGGAGAACTTTCTTAGATCACTAAATTTTTAGTTATTGTCTATTTTAATTCATGAAAAATTTAAAAATATAGCTTCAGCTTCAGGAACTTATAAGTGTTGCTACACAATGCCAAAATAATTAAAATCAAGAAAACTTAAGTCAAAATAATCATAAAAAAAAAACGATCTCGTGACCGCAAAGTTCACCAGAAATCCCAGACTTTGAAATGATTTCAGCACTTGTCGCAATGACACAAGTTCCATAAGTTTTGAGTACATAGAATTCGTAACAGTTGCTTATTCGTCTATTGCATATCAAAAAATTATTTCGAATGGAATACATTGTTTATTTTACTTTTGGCATTTTAAAAGTTAAAAAAGTCACACTGTGCGACGGCAAATTTCCATCTCTGGTGGTCTCTTTGCGAAAATAGTAGAACTATACTTGTAATTACTGTTCTGGACACCTTGAAACAAGGCATAAATTTTACTTCAGCTCATACGTACATCCATAGTTATGCATACGATAACAAACAATACGGAAAATACAAAATTTGTACAAACGGAAATTGCTTACCCTGTGCCAAACTCAGTGGTCGTTCAACTGCAAATAGATCACTCAGCTATCAAAGCTTCACCACAAGTTAAACTAAAAGCTCCATGCACACTCCACATGGAGCTCTCTATGACTATAGCTGTTCCATTGTGTACCATAATTTATCTACTCAGTAGATTCTACTGAGTCGTAAGAGTGCAAAACGCAGCAATCACAATGATCAGTTGAGTGCGGTACTTTGTAGCTAGCGGACGCGTCTTCGGTGGAAGCGGATCTGGATGGGTTGAGGCAGCCAAACGTGTGAGTTGCCGAGTTAGAGCGTATAAATTGATGTGTTTTGTATACATACTCTAGTGCGAATGCAGAAATGAGTAAATAAATTCATATAACAAAAGAGAAAACACAATAAAAATGACAATTGCGAGGTGCTTTTGAATAAATTTGTCATAGGATGCAACAACAAAACAAGCATAAATCGAAATAAATACTATTTTACGCGGATGAGTAAACCAAAGTGAAAAAGGCTTAAAAAACAAAAAGAATATAGAAAGTGACCTTTAAATAGGGTGCTCATTCGGAAGCGACAGCGTTATTTGAAAGCGAAATTCGTGACCAGGTGCAGCCGACCAAATAGTGGATTCTCCTTTAATAAACTCAAAATTAAAGCAGAAAAGTAAATGCAAGGTAAGGTTTCATCAAAACAAGTTGCACGCATGCGCAGCTTGGCATGTCATGCAATACTTGTACCGTACCAATTAAGCAACTTTTTAATTTGGTCAACTGCATAAGAAAGCGAATAGCAGTCAAACAATTAGTATATACCCTCCTATCCACCATAAAATTTCTACCGTTGTCCACATTTCGGCAGACAAAACGCAAAAGCTGCTTGCAAGATGTACATACATATGTATATTTGGCTTGAATAACTTCTCAAGATTTTTACCACTACTACTATTTTGACTGAAAATCCTTGTACCTTTGGCGTTTAAATCTTTAACTTTTACCTGCTAACGATCGCGATTTGTAGTTATGCTTTTACCCACTTGTCAGAAATTTGCGTATGCAAAACCTGCACAGCTGTTTGCGACTGTCAGTTATTACAAGGCAGTGTTGCCATTCTGCACTTTTGGTTACAAGGAATTATGTAGTGCTTTGCTATTGCTGTTTCTGAGGTCCAAAAGTACAAAGTTTTCATACAGTTTTCTGAGATATGAAGAGAATACGCGAACGAAACTGGAAAATAAAAAAGAAATCACATTATTCGGCGTCTAATGAGTTGTCTTCCCAGACGGACAAAAAGCTCGCAATTATCGATTGCTGAACATAAGGTTGATGGTGTCTTTTGGTGATTTTCTTTCCCGTTATATGCGTATTTATTTATCATTTATTTTCAAATGAACGTGAGTGGAATTAGTAATTGCCGATGGGCAGTAACGCTCTTTGTGTTTTTACGCGTTCTTACATTATTTGTCGCAGTAAAGTTATTACTGGCCTAATTTTTTATTAATATTTGTGACAGTAAAACATTCGTAAAAGTACAGTGCTTTCGAAACATATATATAGGTACAAGTACTAAAATTATGTATTGAAGTTTGCTGTGGCTGAGTGGTTAGAGGTGCGTACTACCAATCCGCAGGTATTGGATTCGATCCCTTCCAATATCTAAATTCAAACAAGTTTTTTTAACAGCGGTCGCCCCTCGGCAGCAGGCAATGGCAAACATCCGAGTGTATTTCCGCCATGGAAAAGCTTTTCATAAAATCCTTTTGCCGTTCGGTGGCTGTGAAAACTGTATTTCAAGATGTACACGACAAATTGGAGCAGAAGCTCCACCAAGTACTTAACAAAAGTGTAACGCCAAAATCATAATAATAACAATATTGTTAATATTATTATAATTCTGTACTAAAACAAGATACCTATGTTAGAATATGTCGCACGTTTGATAATATAGAGAATTATTCCAAATTTAACTTTTGTGGGAAATGGCAATCAAGCTTTGTTAAATTAATATAGTTGGTATACATATCTTTGCCATTTTTGGAAGTTTAGTTATCTGTTAGACTGAACAGATTCTCCTTACTAAGCTTATCAATTGTGTGATGAAATCTCCGAAATAGGAAAATCTTATTTACTTCTCCATGTTATTAAACGTGTGATATATACTTGCAAATTAAGTTTACAAGTTTTTTTTTAATTAAATATATGTACCTATTAATAATACTTTTTGCTGCCGCTTTTCTCTAGGCCACTCCTAGAAGAAATGTGTACTGAAAAAAGGTGCATTCGTACATATTAAAGGGCTGTATCGGAATTCAGTTTGTGAAGTTACCTTCAAATATGTAAACTACCCATAATCTAACAAAAAAGGTATGGAAGGAAGAGAAGTGAAGGTATTGGGCGCTGTATACATAAAAAATTACTCAAACAAATTATGTACCGAAAAAAGAGGAACATAAAACAGCAGCGCTGTTAAACTTCCACAAAAAAGATGTTCCTTCAGAAGTATTTTATTTATATGCTGCATAATGTTAATGTTAGAGCTGACTCTTATGTTAAATAACACTGCAAAAATCGCGACTGCTCCATGCATGCATGTAAAGAGTACTCCCTAAAGATCAAAATTAACCACAATTCATATAAAAAATATGGTCCAATTAACATTGCAATCACCTAGGGCAGGACCAAATACTCCATTTCTGCATTACATCAGAGTAGCACACAACTACTCCAACATATTAACAATGGCATTGTTGTTATATTTTTTCGTTTCTACACACCTTTCTTGTTCACTTCACAGATGCTTTTTCGCAATTAATAAAAACCAAAAACAAAAAATAAAAAATTGCATGTTGCCTCTGACGGCATTCGAACCCGAACATGCTGGGAGCTAACAACTAACAGCGAGCATCTCTACACGTTCAGCTACAGCTAGACATGCAAATGTGCTGTCATATGCTCAACTTCAATCACATTTCGTTAAAACCCAGCAGTGATCAGGTAACAATAACCTGGTGCAGAGACACGAGTTGGTCCTCTACAGCATGACGGAGGAACACTTTTGTAAGTACTCCAATTTACCATAAATAAACTACATGGTCCAACGATTTTTGCAGGGAACAAACACGTAGGGCGCTCCGAATAATTACCCAATAGCATATTTTTTATAAAGAAAGCGAACTCATTTTATACAAAGAACCAGTTTTTAATTTTACAGTACGATATTTTCATTTCCCAATACCAGGCGCTCATACCCTACATACACTGCCGGAACAAAGTATTGGCACAGCAAATTTTTCAAAATATATGCAACGATTTCCATTATAATATTTTTGCGCTGATTTCGTATAAAAATATAGTTCATTCTACAACAAAAAACATAACAATATAATTCCTAAGCTTTGTGCAAAACTCGCGAAAATTCAGCAAATTTTCATGAAAATTGTCAACTTTTTAATCAGGCTTTTTAGAATTTTGTTGGGTATGCAGATTTTTTTGCACTTATGTTTTTTTTCCTACCAAAACCTACCAAACATTTTTTTGAGTTTTAATATTTTATTTTAAATGTAAAATTTATTAAAAACATAGCTAACATAACATTTAGTAAAACTAAAACCCATCTAGTACAATAAAAACAAATTAACTGCGTATAACAATTAATTTTACTGTACATACATATGTACATATCGTCATTAGATACGAATAAAGACACGAGCTCAAAATTCGACAGCGAAAAAAAACGCGTAAAAAAATTTCGGCGAAGAAGGACTCTTAACATAGGCGAGGGCAAAGAAAGACGCGTTAACCTCTTTGACGGCGAAGAAAGACGTGGAAGATTTATTTTCGAGGTCAACTATGTTTGCGAGTATACGAATTCCCCAAAAAGTTTTTCCAGAATGAAGTTGAATCCATGTTTACGCGTCCTTTTTCGAAAATCTTTCGCAAAACACCCGAGCGTCTTTATTCGTGTCAAGTGACTATATTATTATTATTACGTCATTGTAATCGCTCTAACCTTTCGCTATTTAAAAAGCTCAGCACTTTGGATGATGCCATGTTCCAAACAATCCTTCTCCAAGGTGCATAAACCTGCTTATTCATGCTTTGTGGACAGGTACACAGAATATAATCTGGGGTTTCCTTCACCGGTCCACAAAACCTACAGTCAGTCTCTACAGGAAGACCCTTTAACTCAATCGGTACGTTAACTTGCAGTGTGTTGTCAGGTAGCCACAAAGAGTTCTAAGTTCAAGGTATCTTTCGGAGTTCCTCCTGAAAAGTTATGAATCTCTTTGATTGTCTTATTCCCTTCGACTTCCACCAGAGTGCAGCAATTCCCAGCTAGCTCCTAAGTAGGTCTGCAGTGTATCCTTTAGATGTACCGCAGAAAGGCTCGGAACCATGCAAACGCATTTGGGCTCCACTCTTTGCAAGACAGTCAGCCCTTTCGTTGCCTTCAAACCCTTCATGTCCCTGAACCTTCCACAACGGTACGCTATCGTGGGCTCCCAGGTGGTTCAAGAGTTCACAAGCCTTGATGCCGTTTTAAAAGACTCTAAGGCTTCTAACGCTGCCTGAATATTTGACATCATATTTATTTTGGCTTCAATTGCCTTCTACGATAAAATTCGTGAACACAGACTTCGATTGCGAAGACCTCCGCCCAGACTATGGTTGCCCATTGGCAGACTTTCCTGGAATCTTGGTCTAAGTACGCCATAAAGTATATATGGATGTTCGTATTGTATATTGGCAATAATAAGGGTACATGTTTGTACTGAGGAATCATGTTTGCGGCCGCCGTTATACAAACGCGCCGGTGAAATATTTATGTAAAAAAAATTGCTAAAATGTTTGGAGATACATATTTTCTATTTTTCTCAAATAACTATTACTCGTAGTCCCAAAACCTACCAAAATCCAATCGAGCCTCCCAACCTACCAAATGGAAAAAAACCTACCAGTTTTGGTAGGAAAAGCCCATGTTTGGCAACACTGTTCGTAAGGTAAAACCAAAATGTATTCAACAAAGTGTGACTGATTTTGACACTGATCTCATAAGAAACAGGCTATAATGTCAAATTGAAATGAATTGTTAACCCATTTGAAAATACTTTTTTTCAAATTTGAATTTGTTTAAAAAAAAAATGTAAACAAAAATTTTTCAAGCAACAAATATTCTTAATAAACGTGAAATTGTTAAGAGATAAACCGCCGAGGAGAACAAGTAAGTACATTTAAAGTTTGGTAATAAGTAAGTACGTCCGACTTGGCTTAAATATTTAATGTAATGTGATTCATCTCGCGTTTGTGAAAATTACTTCAAGGAAAGTGATTTCATTTGTTGTCCGTCCGAATCAAGCACTTTCAAACGACTCGTTTATACCCAAACTTTTTAGCATGAAAAAAATTTAATTTAAAAATTGTTAAAGCTAAGCTCTCATATATAATTGGAAACAAATGTAAAATCATACTTTGATAAGTGTCGAATAATGTTTAGGATAAAAAATTTAAATATAAAAATAAACGCACAAAAGCATAAAACTTGAGCAATTAAAAACAAGAAAATTGCTAAAACGATTTTATAAACAATTTGTTTTATTTTATTGACAAAATATATATATTCCACGTAATGTAAGTAAAACAAAACTATAATCAAAATAAAAGCCAACGGTATGAGTGCT